ACTCACCGCTCTCCTCCCCCTCTTCTTCCCCTCCCCTCACACCCCCTTGCCATTTTAATATTTAATAATTAATTATTTAATATCGTCCAAATATTATACAACAAATTTTGAAAATAAAAGTAATAATTATATACAATGTTTATATAATAAATAAATAAATAAAAATAAATAAATAAAAGCTCAAAAATTCTAATCGTCAAAATCGGCGGTTGCGTTAGGTCGGGAAAATGGGGTGAGGGTGGGAGGAGGGGTTGGGGAGGGGGGTTGTTGGAAAGGTGGCGTCAGTATCGTCGTCGTTGGCGTCGTTAGCGTTGTTGGCGTCGGCGTCGTCGTCGTTCAGCGTCGGCGTCGTGACGCCCGGAATGAAAAGAGGGATTCAGTTACTGTTCGACCTTAACGCGTTTCGCGTTTCGCGTTTCGCGTTACACTTCTAACTCGCAATTTATTTTCTTTTTATTACAATAATACAATAATAGAAAGAAAAAAGCAAAAAAAAAAAACACACCTCCGCAGTTTCATTTAATGTCATTTAAATTGCATCAAATTTCATTCGTTTATTTTGTGTGTTTGTGTGTGTGTGTGTGTGTATTAATATCAGTAAAATCAGAGGACTGATACATTTGAACGAATAAAAAAAGAAGCTGATTAGAAAATTGAAATGAAATGTTGTTTGTTTCATCGTCATGCATTGGTGTTAATTGAAATAATACAAAAATATAAAAGTGAATAGGAGGAAAAAGAGGAGGAGTAGGAGGAGTAGGAGGAAGGGAAGGAGGATAATTTGATCCTCTGTTCTCATTTTCTAATTTTATTTGTGTTTTTTTTTTGTAAACTTGAATTTCTTCAGGTTTGCAATTCAAACAACAAAAGTATATATATATATATATTTGCAATAAGGTTTTTTTTATATTTCATGTGAGTGTATAGGTGTAGTATAGGTGTATGTTGGTGTATACGTGTGTTTATTATTTAATTTAAAATTTAATATATATATATATATATATATACAACAAATTGGTGAAACTTCCAGAACAAATTGCACTAAGTATTTTATTTTCATATTTTTAAATAAAATTGTCTAGGTATATATATATATATATATATATATATATATATATAATCATAATACTAGGGGATTAGGAGTGGGGGTAAATTGATTAAGTACATTTTTAAATAGAATAAAAGGGTGGTAGGTGCTTGGAAACAATTCAAAATAGAAATAGAGACAGATAGATAGATAGATAGATAGATAGATAATTAAGATAAAATATATTAAATTGACATAGTCGTAGGTATGTAAAAAAAAAAACAAAAAAAAAACAAAAACTAAAACACGAAAATAAAAAGTAAGCACGGGTGCCGAGCGTGGTTGCGTAGGTGTCAACCTGGACAACGATCCCAACGCGCAGTTAAATTAGGTCAACTGATATTCCTTCACTATCTCTCTCCCTCTCTCTCTCTCTTTCTCTCTCTTTCTTTATGTTTTGTTTCAACTATACTTTTATCTAATTTATTTTGTGTGACCTATCTACGTCAAGGATCAACAAAAGTAACAATTGAATATTTAAGAAATATTTTTGAAAATATGTTACTTCAAAATGAACAACCAAAAAATTGGGCCCAAAATTTCAATGAAATGAAATATAATAATAATTATTTGATTTTTGTTCATTTGATGAAACGTTTATTGTTCATTGAGGACGACGAAGAAGATTGATGTTCATTGATTTGTGACAATTGATAATTTGATTGGATGTTTAATGATTGAAATTAGATTTTGAAAAAAAAAAAAAAAAGATATGTGTGTTACAGAAGAAAAATAATAATAATTGTATTCAAAATCGACTTGTCTGTACTTGACTGACAAAATATGAACGACATGCGTCGCGACCCGGGTATCCGCGTGACCCGGCGACCTGTCGTATCAGCGCACGTAGCTCCTGATGAGGTCATTCGATACCCCACCCGAATCCAACTATTGTCCCTTAACCCATTACAAACTATCACGGTTTTATCAGGAACCATTTTTTAAACACGGTTTTATCAGCAATCATTTCTTTGTTTATTATTATTATTATTATTATTAATTATTGTATTGTCAATTTAACAATGGTAAATTTTGTTGTTTTACGTTGGTTTTTTTATATGAAACAAAAAAAGGTTTAATTTGGATGAATAGTTCGCTCAAAATAATTGATGTTAGTATGATGATTGCACTGCACATAAAATGTGCCAAAGGGTTGCTAACCCAATATTGTTATTATTGTTATTATATTGATAATTTTACAATGAATTTTACAATTTTACAATTCTATACTTTCTATAGTTTATATAAAACAAAAAAAGGTTTTATCTGGATGAATATTATGCTCAAAATAATTGATGTTTGTATGTTCATGTTAGTAGAATGATTGCACTGCATACAAAGTGTGTAAAAGGGTTGCTAACCCAATATTATTATTATTGTTATTATATTGGTAATTTTACAATGAATTTTACAATTTTACAATTCTATACTTTCTATAGTTTATATGAAACAAAAAAAGGTTTTATTTAGATGAATATTTTGCTCAAAATAATTAATGTTAGTATGATGATTGCAGTGCATACAAAGTGTGCAAAAGGATTGCTAACCCAATATTATTATTATTGTTATTATATTGATAATTTTACAATGAATTTTACAATTTTATAATTCTATACTTTCTATAGTTTATATAAAACAAAAAAAGGTTTTATCTGGATGAATAGTTTGCTCAAATTAATTGATGTTAGTATGTTCATGTTAGTAGAATGATTGCACTGCACACAAAGTGTGTAAAAGGATTACTAATCCAATATTATTATTATTGTTATTATATTGTTAATTTAACAATGAATTTTACAATTTTACAATTCTATACTTTCTATAGTTTATATTAAAAAAAAAAAAAGGTTTTATTTGAATGAATATTTTGCTGAAAATAATTGATGTTAGTATGTTCATGTTAGTATAATGATTGCAGTGCACACAAGATATGCAAATGGGTCTCAAATGGGTCTCTATGGGTTCTAGGATTAAACCAATTTGTTAGAAAATTATTCCAACATTTTTTTCTTCTTTCCCTTCCACTTCCTCCCCCC